TTATTATTATTATCGTTATTATTACTACTATTATTACTACTATTATTATTACTATTATTATTATTATTATTATTATTATTGCATCGTATTGATTGATTTTATAATTATTTTATAGATGACTTATATTCTGCAAAACCTTATAATATTGAAATCCCATCGGATGTTTCAACAAATTAACTATATATTAAATTATTAGAATCCTTTTTTATATTAAATAAATGTAGAATGTCTAGAATTTTATTTTTTATATTACTTAAACTAGTTATTTTCATATGATATATACTAGCTTTGACCTTATATCGATTGATACGCGCTATTGGGATGGCCATAACTTCATAGAATTACACACTTAGACTATCCACCTTTAGAGACCAGTGTATCTGGTATTAAATATTTAACTTTTCTCTTCCATTATCACATAAATTTTGCCGAATATTTCGTGACACGTTCCTTAAAGTGATCGACAGACCTTCAATGCATATCGATATGCGCTTGATGTTTTGATAGGTCCGGGAAGCATGTGCCCGTGATATGAAGATGAAAGGCAACCTGTGTCGAAAGCAACAACGACGTTTGAATTATACCAATCGTGATTAGAATTCATGAATAGACAATAAAGTTTTAATAATCATTCAATTTTTTTTGTACACAAAAAAGTGAAAGTAATTAATACAATAAAAAGATTGTTTGACAAAAATAATAAAAAACCTTAAAAATATATATATCGGCATAACTTATATCCCGATAATTACTTTCGCTTGCCGACATAATTTATGAAATCTATAAAAAATACGATTGTAACGACTTGTGTACATAAATATTTGTTTTTTCAATTCAAGATTTGAGTGAAACAATTGTCGAAGAAATCATACTGTATAAACCGTAATTGTATATATATATATATTTCGCTTTCATTAATAAAAATATTTCTAGATTAATTAAGAACTGCAAGGATATATTAAAAAAATACGCTGAATGAACCGTTATTGACAATTGCTGGATACATAATCCAAAAATTCATTAAGTTGAAATAGGAAATTTTGATTCGTAATAACGATAAGGGAATATGCAGATGCATTAGAATGTTACAATAAAAATAACATAATCTTACCGTTACGTACGTACGTACGTATGTACAATTTTGAAAATATTGTACGTACGTACGTGTATATACGTATTAGTAAAAATATATATATATATTTTTTCTTGTTATTTCTTGTTAATTAGTGGAATATCTCGTGTCCACAATTCATTAAATAATGCATATCTAATAGATTTACGCTACGTATTACCGTAACTCATGTACTGCTGCCATATACTAAAATATGTAGAGTAATATTAAATCGTAGAATAAGATTTCTTATTAATTATTCACTACGTATCAAACGCAAATATTGATTAAGTAATAACTCTCTATATATGTAGTATAATCAATTACTGTTACTGTTGTTGCCTGCTACGTTAGCGTTAGGGCGTCCGATATACCAGATATATACGTACTAATTAATCAAAGGTATTGCCAGTAGTGCAGATTTGTGCAAAATTGATAAATTCACTATAGCAAAAAGGAGTTAAGATTTTTAATTAAATATTTTTTAAAGATTAAAAATTAACTTCTTGTAATATACGTATATTCAATCTAAGAATTTACTTCGTAAAAGAAAATTTTAAATTGTAACCTTTTTTTAATATATTAAACTAATAGTTTCGTGTATAAATTGTGGAGAAAAATAGTTGGTACGCGAGATGAATCAATTTTTAGAATACTAGTTTCCACTATATAAGTTACGTAGTAAACTTAACGATTTTACCGATCTAATGCATAAATCTGCATTATTACAATACTCAATATAGTTTTGATTAATTACGTAGTATATCGGAAGCCCCCATTGTTACGTACCCCAAAATTCAAGAAACAATAGCCCCCTAAATTGTAAAAATAAAAAAGATACCCAATAATTTACACGAGTGCATTGATGATTTTCCTCGATTTTATTAAACAATGTTACAAAGTTTCAATTTAACCATTTTTAAGATATCTAAAAGATGGATTAAAAATGGTATAATATAGAGAGCTGGCCTTGCTAACTATACTACTTGACTTAACATGAAGAGGGTAAGGATATGTGTATACAAAAGGTAAAACTCAA